CCCCCAATCGTAATACCCAAGTTACGGCCCTGTATCCAATTGGTAACAGTGTAGTTATCATATTATTGTTGTCTTTTCATTTCTATTTTAGTGTTGATGGCAGCACCAGTACATTCAATCAACCTAAGTTTGTTGTTTTCTACACCAATCTTCTAAGCATTTTCAGCTTATTTTGCTTTAACTGCAAAGAACCAAAGCCGATTGTTCACATGAAGAGGAATGGAACAATGGTTGTAGTTAAACAGACATGCAGCAAGTGTATCTTTGGGTATGAGTGGTATTCGCAACCAATAATTTTGAACAAATACGCTGCTGGAAACCTCCTATTGAGTTTTGCTATTCTTATGGCTGGTGCCTCAGTTAGTAAAATCCTTTTGGTGTTCAGACATATGGGTCTATGTGCATACACAGTACGTTCATTCTTTCGTCATCAAAGCAAACTCGTTGTTCCAACAATTCTACATTGCTGGGAAGCTTATCAAGCTAAACTTATAAAGGGACTGAAGGCTACAAAAGATGTTGTTTGGTGTGGCGATAGGCGGTTTGACTCCATGGGTCACTCGGCCAAATATGGAGTCTACACAATGTTATCACCAACAATTATGAAAATTGTCCATTTTGAACTTGTTCAGGTAGGTAGAATTTACATAAGCTTTTACGGTTAGAAACTTAGAACACGGTGCACAAATGTTGACATTGATATGCTTCATTTCAACAGGCTGAATCAGCACAGTGTAATGCACACAATAATTCCAATACAACCCACTTAAGAGCTTTTTTAGATAGTGTATGAGAGGACCATATTTTTCCAGATATTGTAAGACCTATCTCCATGATACAATATAAAACTTGCTATATTTGAGGAAATAAATAATTTGATCTTTTTTAGGCCAATGAAACTGGTGGTAGTACTCAGACTGAATTGGAGGGATTTAAGCTGTGCTTTAATTACCTTGAAAAGGCTGGCTTGACAATCAAAACTTTTATCTCAGACCGACACAAAGGTATTGCAAAGTGGGTTAGAGAACACCGCAAAGGAACAAAACATTTCTACGACATTTGGCATGTGGCCAAATCAATCACAAAGAAGCTTCTAAAGGTCAGCAAGGAAGCAGGATGTGAGGTTATATCAAATTGGATAAAGGGTGTTCGCCGCCACTTGTTTTGGTGTGCTAGTACATCAACCAAGTCTGGTTTTAGTAGCCTAATTGGGGGCAAATGGATGTCCTTCCTTCGTTATGTGTCCAATACTCACACTGATCACCCTGACCCTCTGTATAAGACTTGCAACCATGGAGAGATTAAAAAGCGATTGTGGATCAAAAGAGGTTAGTACGGTATATGCATGTCATTAACTTCAAATATTAACCCATTGAGTGGCAGCACTTTCCACCTGACGAGTAAAATAATAAAGTGGGGCGCATCTGGGCACATTGCCACTTAATTTAAAGGGTTAATCAACCTGTATTTCATCACTGACTACCTCATGCTAGTATGTTATGCACATCATTGCAGATTATGCATTATTCTGCATATAGTATTATCGTATCTTGTAAAAGAGGCACTTTAAAATGCATTGCCCATGATGGATGGGTGAATGCCCAGTGCAAAGAAAGCTTTCAGGGTAGACAATTTATAAATACTTACTGTATACAGTAAATTAAATTTAATATCTTATTTACAATTTTCAGGCACTGCTGCTCATGACAGACTAGAAACCACTCTTAAAAGAAAGTTCTATTGAATGACATAAGAATGCTGTCTCCAGATACCCAGACAAGTGCAGTAGAATGTTTCCATGCCACATTAAACTTCTGGCACCCTAAGGTGATCCACTTTTCTTGGTTAGGTACTACATGCAGGTACATACAGTAATTTGATTCTTTTGAAATTGATATTAAAAATCTAATGTGTACAGTACAAGCTGTAATTATTGATAACTTATAATTTATATGGCAAATTGGCACATTCTGGCAAGTCTCCACTTTAATGAAAATGTCAGTAGAGAAACCAAAAAATCTATAAGTGGATCAAAGTACTACAGAGTAACATATCCAAAGTTTAAGCTTGGTGATGAGGATGTAAGAGAAGTTCCAGTGTCACCGACATATGGTAAGAGTTAACACCTTTTGAAAGGGAGTTTTAATGAAGTTTAGAAATTGTGAAATAATTTTAGTCATACTACTTTCATTAGCAACATTAGTGCTAGTGTACGTATGTTTGCTTGAACTCCAAGTTCTTATTGTATTTTTCAGGTAGACTGATGCAACTTCACTGCAGTATCTTCAATATGGGTTGGCACTAATGTGACATTTTTCTTATTTATAGGATATGTTGACTCCATGAAAGAACTCTTGTTTTCTTTAAGTCGTAAAGAAATGAAAACTATTTTATGAAAGTATATCAAGAAAACTCCAAAGCCTCTCAACTCCCAGTTTCCTAAGAAACTATCCAAATCAGAGGCAGTCAAGAAATTTCAAGCTAACCAACACAGAAACAACACCCCCTTTTTCCACCAGATGCAGTGCTACTGTGAAGTATACAGTATTGTAGTTCTATTCCTGAATTATCACCAATCTCAACTGGCAATACCCTGCTCACTGACAAGTATGTAATATCATCTGGATTTAGGTAGCACAATAACATACTAAAGTAGGGTGCATTTAAGTGTACTGCCAGCTGTTGGTTTAACCCCTTAAGTGACAATGTGCGCAGATGCACCCTACTTTATTAATTTACTGTCTAACGCCAGATGATTTTACTCGTCGGGGGGAGAGTGCTACCACTCAATGGGTTAAAGACGATAATTGAAATTGAAATCTACAGTATGAAATAATTCATACAAAAAGTATCCTGCCCATGAAGAACTCCGATCCTGGTTAGAAATTGGGACGTTGAACACTTAGCTTCACACACCTTTATTAATACAGGGTGCTACTCTACTTGCCACACCCCTCTATGGTATAATTTTTTCTTCATGGGAAAAGTATATTTTTTTATATTGGAAATGTGTCTGATAGTAGTGTCTTAACCTATTCTGTCTTAATGTTTTAATATTTTTTTGTTACAGTGGCTGACCAAGACACCTTGCTCAAAACAATGGTTGAAGCCACACAAAGTACCAAGAGCAATGTCAGGAAGGCTCCCATTTGTAGAAAATGCAAGTAACCAATGAAGGGACATTCTAAAGCAAAGTGTAAAGCCAATTAACACTTTATTTGTTCATGTAATCAACATGAAACCACTAGTACTTCTAAGGCACTAGCTTACCATTTATAATACAGCACATGGGAGGACTGATGAGATAAGTAGTTAAGGAAATTTCAAAATCAAATGAAATGCTTACAGAAAACTGAACCAGGCATGGTCAAGATATTTTAACTGCACGAGTACGCGTTTGGTTTGGCGAATTGTCCAAGGGCTTGGAATTTCTACTGAGTGCTGTACATGTCTATCAACCAGACTATAGAGTTGGTCAACGTCGCACTCGATATTTTTTAGGCAGAAATTTCAGCGCACCTGGGATGTACTTTATAACAATTTTTGCAATTTAATCTGCCCTCTAATCTCACATTTTCATTGTTTTTAACATGTATCTCGCTATTTTTGTGCCCTAGCTTGACTGCATCTTGATGTGCACTTGTCTTGGGAACTGTTTTGCACCCGCACTTCGATTTTCTAACATTTGCGCACCCGAGATCAGCTCGTCGAAAAGTGCCCAACTCTGCAGTCTGGTCTATCAATACATTTCATATTAATGTTTAATACAAAAAAAGTCCAGTCTGTGACGCTGCGAGTTGAACACCATACTATATAATATAGTCATTCTCTATTTCATAGCAGCTAGACAACCCTGTAAGATGTTAAAGTATATATGTACATTATTTTCGAATTATTTATTGTATATTATATCTGTATTGTTGATTAAAATACCTTGGTAGTTGCATAGTTTACAATACAAGCTGTTCCAAAAATAGAAATGAAATAAACAAGATTCGCCATGTCACGCGTACCGTGGCTCTGAAGGGCCATGCCATGACATGGTATATTTTTTAATTAAATTTGTTCCCCCCAAAAAATTGACTGTTCATTTTATACTTATAAATAAGATCTCGTATTGTTCAAATTTAATTTAAACTGAAACTTTTCCTTTAATTGACTTACAACTCAGAATTCTGACTTATAACACGCAATTCTGACTTATAACACGGAATTCTGACTTATAACGCACAATTCTGACTTATAACACAGAATTCTGACTTACAACTCAGAATTCTGACTTATAACACGGAATTCTGACTTATAACACGGAATTCTGACTTATAACGCACAATTCTGACTTATAACACAGAATTCTGACTTATAACTCAGAATTCTGACTTATAACACGGAATTCTGACTTATAACGCAGAATTCTGACCTATAACGCAGAATTCTGACTTATAACACGGAATACCGACTATAGTAGGCCCAACTCGAAATTCTGACAGAGATCATCAAAAATCACATGCATTTCTCCATTCTTTCAAACACAATGGCCGATCGCGACAAGTTGATTCTTCGGATATTAATATGGTTTGTGCTAGTTTTCCCATTATGTACTTGTATGGTTTCCTTTTATCTTCCTGCCTTGATGACAGGCAGTCCAGACCGCGATAGCTTAATCGTACGCTACTTTGAGCTTGGATTTTCATACAAAGAAATAATAGCGTTCCTTAGCGCTTATCATAGCATACGAATATCCTTGCGTCATCTTAAAAGGATATTATCTTCAAAGAGATGTTACAGAAGAAAAAATCACTCAAATATTCGTGAAGTTGTTGATGCAGTAGAAAGAGAACTAGATGGAAGTGGTGGTGAAGTTGGATACAGGCATATGCATCAGAGATTGCTCACAAAGCATAAGCTTGTTGCATCAAGAGAGACTGTGCGAAAAACGATAGCTGCCCTAGACCCTGAAGGAGTGAGCCAACGTTCGATGAGAAGATTTAGACGCCGTTTGTACTCTGTAAGAGGTCCAAATGATATGTGGCATATCGACGGATACGACAAGTTAAAACCCTTTGGATTTGCTATACATGGTGCAATAGATGGATACAGCAGGCGAATTCTGTGGCTGCATGTGGGGCAATCGAATAACGACCCTCGAATAATCGCGCATTATTTTGTAGATTACATTAGAGGCATAGGTGGTACAGCTCGTAGGATTCGTGCCGATTGCGGAACAGAAAACACCCATGTGGCACAAATACAACGTTTTCTACGAAGAAATGATGTTGACAGCTTTGCGAAAGAGAAAAGTTTCATTTATGGAAAATCAGTGGTCAACCAAAGAATAGAAGCGTGGTGGTCTATTCAACGACGTTGGGGAATTAACTGGTGGATTAACTACTTTTAGTTAAAGACCTTCGCGATAGAGGTAATTTTCCGGTTAATTTAGCTACTACAAAACTGTCCAAATCCAAAGGGTTTTAACTTGTCGTATCCGTCGATATGCCACATATCATTTGGACCTCTTACACAGAACACACGGCGTCTAAATCTTCTCATCGAACGTTGGCTCACTTCTTCAGGATCTATAGGGCAGCTATCGTCTCTCTTGATGCAACAAGCTTATGCTTTGTGAGCAATCTCTGATGCATATCAGCATATGCCTGTATCCAACTTCACCAACACTTCCATCTATTTCTCTTTCTACTACATCAACAACTTCACGAATATTTGAGTGATTTTTTCTTCTGTAACATCTCTTTGAAGATAATTGATCTTTTTATAAGATGATGCAAGGATATTCGTATGCTATGATAGGCGCTAAGGAACGCTATTATTTCTTTGTATGAAAATCTAAGCTCAAAGTAGCGTACGATTAAGCTATCGCGGTCTGGACTGCCTGTCATCAAGGCAGGAAGATAAAAGGAAACCATACAAGTACATAATGGCAAAGCTAGCACAAACCATATCAATATCCGAAGAATCAACTTGTCGCGATCGGCCATTGTGTTTGAAAGAATGGAGAAATGCATGTGATTTTTGATGATCTCTGTCAGAATTTTGAGTTGGGCCTACAAGTCGGTATTCCGTGTTATAAGTCAGAATTCTGCGTTATAAGTCAAAAGTCTGTGTTATAAGTCAAAATTCCGTGTTATAAGTCAAAATTCCGTCTTATAAGTCAAAATTCCGCGTTTTAAGTCAGAATTCCGTGTTACAAGTCAGAATTCTGAGTTATAAATCAGAATTCCGTGTTATAAGTCAGAATTCCGAGTTATAAGTCAGAATTCCGTGTTATAAGTCAGAATTCCGAGTTATAAGTCAGAATTCTGAGTTATAAGTCAAAATTCTGTGTTATAAGTCAAAATTCCGTGTTATAAGTCAGAATTCTGAGTTATTTAGTCAGAATTCCATGTTATAAGTCAGAATTCTGCGTTATAAGTCAGAATTCTGAGTTGTAAGTCAATTAAAGGAAAAGTTTCAGTTTAAATTGAATTTGAACAATACGACATCTTATTTATAAATATAAAATGAACAGTTAATTTTTTGGGGGAAACAAATTTAAAAAAATATACCATGTCATGGCATGGCCCTTCAGAGCCACGGTACACGCGACCTCATGCGACTCCAGAAAAACACGATATAAAGCACATTTTCAATAAAACTCAGAACGCGTTTAATATGAGAAACATTCATGAAATCTATTTGATAAAACTATATATATGTTGCTATATAAAAAGGCCAAGCGGAACAATCAGCCATTACAAATACACAAACTGCCCAATTCAACTGACACTGTAGCCTTTGGTATTTCGTCCCTATAATTATGTTCATATACACAAGGTGGCAACGGTCTTCTGTTATCCCATCCCATGTACCCACAAAGCCATCTCACAGTCCACTTGTAAGCAACTGGTCGAATAAACCTTGAAATAATCGGGAAAATATTAAAGTAAGGCCTTCTTTTGAACCCGTGTTCCAAACTATAAAAATACGTTTGTTGTTTTGTAAAATGTCAGTTTAATGTCGCGCGAACTAAAAATAACAAATGTAAACAAAAGAAATTTCAAACTAATCCGAATATACCTGCCAGAGGATATTGAATCGAAATGATTCACTATCGCTAAAATATCTTGAGTATAATTCCAAACTGTATAAATTAAGTCTACAAAATTTATAATCTTGATATCGAAATACATGAGTTTGAATGTTTGACAATATAAAACACCTTAGAATTTCGATTTAAAAAATCGAATAAAGAAAAAAGCCTTGCGTCTCAGACTCTCAAAGGATATCTTTTAGACTAATCGAGTAATTTTGAAAACGAGTGTAGACTTTACACATAACTGAATGACACAACATATTATTAAAATAAAAAGTTACTCACTCGTTTTCTGAGATTCCTGCACGACGGCGATAAGTTCTTCCATACTTGTTTTTTATCAATGGTGCCACTTGCAACAATACTGCTTTGTTTGAAATTGCACCATAGTCTTCATGTTCTGTTATACATTTTATGTTTTCAATGGAGCCATCAAAAGCCATTTTCCCTAAGGTATCCACAACCTCTCTACAGCAGCGATACTCTGTCGCTCCAGGAAGGTTTTGGGCGAGGCAGTGTGCACATTTACACCTTGAAAATAAACACGGATATATTAAATTATAAATAATCACGACTGAATTCCAAACATTTAGTTTTCGAATTTTTTTTGTATTAATAAAAATTCACTTACCAAGAGTTAAGAGGAATATTGCCGTCTTGGCGAGCTGCCTGTTATGTATTCAGTTAATTGTTAGATATCAGCGTTGCATGAGATTAAAGATGGCGGCCGTATGAAATATACAACATGGTGTCAGGAAACGGGATTTTGTTTTAGTTTTACGGAATAAAAATCGAATTGAGTGAACAAAAGCAACAAAAATGGCAGAAGGATACCCAAGCTCTTATAATTGGCCCACCATGAACTGGCAAGCGAAAGATCTCGACAAAGAATGGGAGCGATTTTATCAGCATTGTGAATTCGCATTTGGAGGCCCGTTAAGCAAGTGCACAGAGAAGGAAAAGATTTGCAATCTCATGAGTTTTGTGGGAGACAAAGGCCGCGAAATGTACCTTACGTTTCAATGGAACACAATTCAAGTTGGAACAGGCGAAAATATCCAACAAGTAAGTGAGAAAGATATTCTTGATAAAGTTGCTGCAAAGTTCAAAGAACAATTAGCATCGAAGAAAAATCCTATTATGGCAGCAGTTCAATTTGACAGGAGGTGCCAAAAACAAGGAGAAACATTTGACGATTTTGTAACCGACCTGAAATTATTGGCTCGTGGCTTAGACATTGAGCAAACAGACAAGCTAATAAGAAATGCTATAGCATGCAAATCTTTTGACGAAAGGGTAAAACAACGGTGTTTGGAAAAGAGTAAAAACTTAACATTAGAAACAGCCATAAATATAGGGAGATTATTTGAAGCTACCAAAGATGGAATGCAAGTAATCACAGGGGAAGATCCAAACGTGACGGTGCATGGAGTATCAACAAAGCCCAACAGATTTCCCAGACGCAAGCACCAAATGAGGTCAAATACACCTAGATCCACGGAAAAAGAGTCACAAGCCCCATCAAAGTGTCAAAGATGTGGTTACAATAGTCACAAACCACAAGAGAAATGTCCAGCCAAGAACCAAACCTGCCGCAAGTGTGGAAAGATGGGACACTTTGGTAGAGTGTGTAGAGGAGCAGAAAAGAAAATACACGGCATGGGGAAAGATTCCTACTCTAGTGAAGAAACAGACAGTTCTGATGATGAATACCAGCAAGCCAAAAATTTGCATTTACTGCACCTCAAAAGCCTGAGGATCCATGAGGTTGGTAATGAAAACGACATGCCGAGAGATAACGAGTGGTGGGAAACTGTTCAAGTTGGCCATGGGAGATTGCAATGCCAACTGGATACAGGTGCACAGGCTAGTGTCATGACCGCTAAGCAGTTACAAAGTGTTGCTCCCAATGCTCGGATTAAGAAAACACACAAGAGACTTGTGTCATATAGCCAACACCAGATTGTGCCCAGAGGATGCACCACACTAAAAGTGAAACACAAGGAAAAAGAGATCAAGGTGAAATTCTTCATCATTGCCAAGGCACATAATCCAATCTTATCTGGAAAAGTGTGCAAAGCCTTAAACCTAGTAAAGCGAATACACGAAATCGACCACAACCTTAAAGAGCTTCTTATCCAACATCCAGATTTGGAAAATGCAACAGGATCGATGCCAGGGGCATACTCGATTAAGATTGACCCAACAGTGACCCCTGTAGTACATGGTCCAAGAAGGCAACCCGCAGCGCTCCTACCAAAGATTACGAGCAAGCTAAAAGAAATGGAAAAAGAGGGGCATTTGGCAAAAGTAACCCAGCCCACAGATTGGGTTAATTCCATGGTTGTCGCACAGAAAGGAGAGAAGATCCGCATCTGCATCGACCCATCCGACCTGAACAAAGCGATAAAGCGAGAACACTACCCTAGTAAAACAGTGGAAGAAATTACCACGAAAATCCCCGGAGCCAAAGTGTTCTCAGTATTGGATGCCAAGAGTGGATATCTTCAAATGAAGATAGACTATGAATCCAGTCTCCTTACAACGATGAACACACCGTTAGGTCGATACCGTTGGTTAAAGCTACCCTTTGGCATCAAATCCGCACCAGAGATGTACCAGAGAGCGATGGATGACATGTTAGAGGGGATAGAATATGCATATGCCATTATGGATGATATTCTGATAGCTGGCCGTGACGTAGCGCATCATGATGCTGTCTTACGACAAGTCCTTGATCGTGCTCAGAGCTACAACTTGAAGTTAAACTTCGACAAGGTGAAGATCAGGAAAGAGGAAGTGCCGTACGTGGGACATCTCATATCAGCACATGGGCTCAAACCGGATCCCACAAAAGTCGAAGCGATGAAACACATGCCAGCACCCGAGAACAAAGATGATGTCCGCCGTTTTCTGGGATCAGTTCAATACCTAGCCAAGTTCTTACCACGCTTGGCTGAGGTAGAAGAGCCGCTACGGCACCTAACAAAGAAAGATACAGTCTTCCATTGGGACAAACCACAGGAAAACGCTTTCCAACGCATCAAAGATCTATGCTGCACAGCACCTATACTGGCCTATTATGATGTCAAGAAGGATGTCAAGATACAATGTGACGCTAGCAAGAATGCAGTCGGTGCTGTCCTTCTGCAAGAAGGCAAACCCATAGCGTATGCATCTCGAAAGCTTCGTACATCCGAGCTAAACTGGTCACCTATTGAGAAAGAAATGTTGGCGATTGTGTTCAGCACAGGAAAATTCAGAGAATACATCCTAGGAAAGGAAACTGTAGTACAGACTGATCACAAGCCATTAGAGACAATTTTTCGCAAACCTTTGCTGTCAGCACCCTTGCGGCTGCAGACCATGATGTTGAAAGTGAAAGGATATGACTTGAAAGTTGAATACCTTCCTGGCAAGAAGCAAGTCATCGCAGATACGCTCAGCAGGGCCAGTCTTAATGTTATGCCACCCGAAAGAAAGGAGTTTCAAGTCAACATGCTTGAGAGAATATCTGTCACGCAAGACAAATACCAGGAACTGCAACAAAGAACTGCGAATGAGCTACACGATTTGTATGCTGTCATCCAGGTAGGATGGCCCACCACAAAGCAGCAAGTGCCTCACAGCGTCAAACCATTCTGGGACAATCGAGATGAATTAGCAATATTGGACGGCGTAATTTACCGAGGAATGAGAATCGTAGTACCACCATCAATGCAACAGGAAATGATAGAGCTGGTGCACGAGACTCACCAAGGAATTGTGAAATCCAAGCAGAGAGCACGAGAAGCGCTGTATTGGCCGGGCATGAGTTCTCAAGTCGAAGCGAAAGTAAAGGACTGCAGTACTTGTCATGACTATGCAGCAGCGCAACAGAAAGAACCGATGATGCCGAGCAAGACTCCAGACTATCCATGGGCCGAAGCAGCATCTGACATATTTACGTTCAAGAGCAAAAACTATGTACTGTCAGTAGATTACTACTCCAAGTACATTGAAGTCACAGAACTCAACGACCTCTCAGCTTTTAGTACCATCGAAGCCCTAAAAGGACACTTTGAGAGACATGGTATTCCAGAAAGGCTGACGACAGACTGTGGCACACAGTATACAAGCGTAGAATTTAAGAATTTTGCGAAAGCCTACAACTTCCAACACGTGTTGATAAGTCCAAAACATCCTAAAGCAAACGGAGAAGCAGAGGCGGCGGTAAAAATCGTTAAATCATTGTGGAGAAAGAACAATGACAAGCACAAAGCCCTGTTGGTCTATCGAGCAACACCACTAGCAGGCATTGATCTGTCTCCATCACAGCTATGTATGGGGAGAAGACTGAGAACTAACCTCCCGATAGCACGCAGTTTGTTAGAGCCCGAAGCATATAACACAAATGATATCAAGAGACGAATGCGCCATGCAAAGGAAAAGCAAACCTACCACCATAACCGCCATGGGACAAAAGAACTATCCCCACTGAAACCTGGTGAACACGTAAGAATCCGACCAGAACCAGGGTCGAAGCTATGGAGACAAGCAACTGTGGTCGACCATCATTCATCACCTCGGTCGTATATTGTAGACACAGGACAACGAAAGCTTAGACGCAACCGAGTAGCCTTAAGATTAGACCCAGGAAGATCAGCAGTGGAAGTAGCAGAGAATGATTACGGTACCAACGACGATATGAGCCACCAAGAAACCCTTGATAACCCAAACCCGGTAAGCGTACCACCAGCTCATCACCCACCAGTAGAAACAGCAACGTCCACGGTGAAAGACAAGGAAACGCCTGTCAAGAGGTCAGGATCAGAAACGCACCAAACACACTACACTACGAGAAGTGGAAGAATCAGCAGAAAACCAGCTAAGTTGAACATTTAATATATGAATGACATTATTCATTACTTAGAGACTTATAGACCTTTAAAGACCCATAAAGACTTTTAGTTTTCGGGACATTTACTTTAAAGAACTCTTAGTTTCATATTTTGTTTAGTTATCCTTTGTTGACGTTGGAAGGGGGGGGGGATGTTATGTATTCAGTTAATTGTTAGAGATCAGTGTTGCTTGAGATTAAAGATGGCGGCCGTATGAAATATACAACAGTTACACTTGCGGTTCTGCCGAAGATTCTGCCGTGACTTAGCTAGCCGTTACACCACAGAATTTTAAAGGATTGTGGACTCATATTATTGAACAAAAGTGGCTTTCCTTTGTTTCGGTAGCGTGGCCGAGTGATGTAAGGCGCTGGTTTTAGGCACCAGTCATTTCGACGACGTGGTTTCGAATCCCACCGCTGCCATTTGTTTAATAATTTGTCGCCTCTCTTTTGAACCTGATGTATATCACCTTTGAGACGCCTTGTATTTGGAGTATTCATGGCAGACAATCCACATTGTATATAAATTACGTTTCTTTTTGAGATTTCTCTTATTTCATTCCAATTGTAAACACGAAGCCGTTTCAAGATATACCAGCAATTCAAAAATACCTTCAAAAAACAATCAATATATTAGTCGTGAATCAGATTGGCGTCTTCATTCATGGACTTGATGGATAGAGTACGACAAGCCGAATGCACAATTGAAATAAATAGTAACGGTGGTACAGTTTATAAGCACGACGCACTAACAAACAGGGGGACGGTTGCAGGTCAGCAGAAAGGTCTTTTTATTTTCGAAAATTATTCTATTCAGAAGAAAATGGTTGCTGGCATCGGTATGCATAAAAGCTTCATAATAATAATAGCAGGAAATGGTTTCGATCCACTGACCTCTGGGTTATGGGCCCAGCACGCTTCACTGCGCCACCCTGCTCCTAGCAGCTTGGAATCAGCCAGTTGTATATATTTTTCAAATCTAGAAAATAGGAAGCAACATATTTCCCTTAAACGTGCAATGAAGCCATGGCACCAATTCAACGAAATAGATTTTGAAACAGACAACAATGTGCTACAATAAACTATACTGGCCACATAACCCAGCAATCAAAAGCTATTGTTATTATTGAGCGTGGATGCATGCAGACGTCACCCACGGATTTTTATCGAACTTTTTCTCAAAACAACAGATTTCGTAAATCATATGGAGATTAGGGCGAATTGCTGCGGTGGTCTTGTTGGTTAGGGAAGGATTGCTAAAAACGTGCTGCCGGATGGGATCGAACCCTCGACTTTAATAATAATAATAATAATAATAATAATAATAATAAAAGCAGGAAATGATCACGATCTGGGCCCAGCAATTATTGAGGCTAAATTGGCTAAATTGTTTTCAAAACTACAGGTTTCGTAAACAATATGGCGATTAGGACGAATTGCTGCGGTGGCTTTGTTGGCTAGTGTATCGTTGGTGTATGAATTTTTTCAAAATAACAACTTTTCGTAAATAATAAGGACATTTTATAATACGAAATGCTGCCGTGGCTTGTTGGTTAGAGAAAGATAGCGATGGATGGCTAAACACTTGCTCGCGGATGGGATTGAACCCTCGACCTTCGCATATACTCAAGTACTGCTTATAAATACGACGCACTAACCAACTGGGCCACGAGAGCATGTCATCTCTCTTATGAACCTGGATGTATGTCACCTTGGAGACGCCTTGTATTTGGAGTATACATGAGTATACATGGCAGACAATCCATGTTGTATACAACTTACGTTTATTTTTGAGATTTCTCTTATTTCATTCCATTTGCAAAAACTAAGCCGTTTCAAGATACACCGGCCATTGTAAACTTTCTTCAAAGAACAATAATCAATATATTAGTCGCGAATCAGATTGGTATCTTCATTCTTGGACTTGATGGATAAAGTACGACATGCAATGCACAGTCGAAATAAATGGTAACGGTCATACAGTTTATAAGCACGAAGCACTAACAAACATGCGACGACAGCAGGTCGTCAAAAAGGCCTTACTATTTTCGAAAACTATTGTATTCAGAAGAAAATGGTTGGTGCCTTCGGCATGCATAAACCCTCCATAATAATAATAGCAGGATATGGTTTCGACCACTGAGCTCTGGGTTATGGGCTCAGCACGGTTCCGCTGCGCCACCCTGTTTCTTGTTCCTTACCGTCAGCCAGTTGTATATATTTTGCGAATCTAGAAACCCATCACACAAGATATTTTCCTTGAATTTGTAACAAAGTTACTGCATCCAATTCAATGGGATAGATTTTAAAACTGACAAGAAAGTGCTACAATAAACTATAGAGCCTACTGGCCAAATAACACGGCAATCAATAGGTATTGCTATCATTGAGCGTGGATGCATGCAGGAAATTCCCAGTTTCGGATAGTGGACTGGAAGATAGTAGTACCAGGAAGTGGTCTCGATTCATTGACCTCTAGGTTGTGCGCCAGCACACTTCCACTGCGCTACCCTTGTTCGTTGTGCTGAATCGTCCAGCTGTGTATATGTATATTTGATGAATCTGGAAATCCAGGAAGCAACATCATATTTTCCTTAAAATTGTAATTTAATAATTAAGTAATTTTTCGTTGACTTGAACAGAGTGAAAGTAAAAGTAGTAGGGATGCCCTCTGCTAACCTAGGTGAGAAATGTGCGCATTGTAAATGTTTCTCGGTGTTATTTGCTATTTCTTATGAAAAACGACTCTTCCAGATGTGCGAAACGATCTGACGGAAACTCATAGAAGCAATCCAAAGAATAGATCCCTATAACTTTCTTGGATTTTTCCTCTTGTGTGAAATAGAGGGCTTCGGAAAAGACGCAATCCTAATGACAATGAAATATTTTCGACGCAATGGAAAATCTAAAACTACGGAGTTAGTAGAATACATGGTTTGGAAACTTTGGCGACTGATTTACAATACATTAACTCATTATAGTTAACAACTATTTTTGTCTGGGTTTGTGGCAGTATCTGATCCTTCGTCGCCACGTCCCTATTGTATTCTTGCCATATCAACCAATAGCAATGACTAAATTAACTCATTGTTCAGGTCACGGATGGATAACTAAGTCCAAGCATAATTGTTGGTTGTCTGGACGAAAGGCCGTCGAAGAAACATATATTTGCCTAAACCTGGACATAAACAGCGATATTGAGTACTATTGCGTTTGCGCGGAGTTTAAAACCATGTATTGTCCTAAACACGAGTGGATTGAGCCGAACAACGTGAAAGAAACTTATAGTTAATATTAGATACGAGGTTCTGCCGAAGTTTCTGCTGACACTTGATTGCGCCGGATAGTTGGATTCAGAGTCCAAAGGGCTAACCGCTACACCACCAAATTTTGGAGGATTGTGGAATTATTTTATTGAAAAAAAGTGGCTGTAATTTGCCAGCGGTAGCGTGGCCGAGTGGTCTAACGCGCTGGTTTTAGGCACCAGTCATTTCGATGACGTGGTTTCGAATCCCATAATTTGTCGCCTCTCTTTTGAACCTGATGTATATCACCTTTGAGACGCCTTGTATTTGGAGTATTCATGGAGACAATCCACATTGTACATAAATTACTTTGTTTTTGAGATTTCTCTTATTTCATTCCATTTGCAAACACGAAGTCGTTTCAAGATATACCAGCAATTCAAAAATATCTTCAAAAAACAACAATCAATATATTAGTCGTGAATCACATTGGCGTCTTCATTCTTGGACTTGATGGATAGTGTACGACAAGCCGAATGCACAATTGAAATAAATAGTAACGGTGGTACAGTTTATAAGCACGACGCACTAACAAACAGGGGGACGGTAGCAGGTCAGGAGAAAGGTCTTTTTATTTTCGAAAATTATTCTATTCAGAAGAAAATGGTTGCTGGTATGCATAAAAGCTTCATAATAGTAATAGCAGGAAATAGTTTCGATCCATTGAACTCTGGGTTATGGGCCCAGCACGCTTCCACTGCGCCACCCTGCTCCTTGCTGCTTGGAATCAGCCAGTTGTATATATTTTTCAAATCTAGAAAATCAGGAAGCAACATATTGGCCTTAATTCAATGAAATAGATTTTGAAACAGACAAGGATGTGCTACAATAAACTATAGAGCCTACTGGCCACATAACCCAGCAATCAAAAGCTATTGTTATTATTGAGCGTGGATGCATGCAAACGTCACCCACGGATTTTGATCGATCTTTTTCTTAAAACAACAGATTTCGTAAATCGTATGGAGAATAGGGGAATTGCTGCGGTGGTCTTGTTGGTTAGGAAGGGATTGCTAAAAACGAGCTGCTGGATGGGATCGAACCCTCGACTTTAATAATAATGATAATAATAGCAGGAAATGATCACGATCTGCTTGACCTCCGGGTTATGGGCCCGGCAATTATTGCGCGCACAAGAGTGCATATGTCACCCTATAGCGTTTTGGTTAAAATTGTTTTCAAAACAACAGGTTTCGTAAATAATATGGCGATTAGGACCGAATTGCTGCGGTGGCTCTGTTGGCTAGTGTATCCTTGGTGTACGATTTTTTTCAAAATAACAAGTTTTCGTAAATAATAAGGACATTTAATAAGACGAATTGCTGCCGTGGCTTGTTGGTTAGAGAAAGATAGGGATGGATGGCTAAAAACTTGCTCTCGGAGGGGATCGAACCCTCGACCTTCGCATATACTCAAGTACTGCTTATAAGTACGACGCACTAACCAACTGGGCCACGAGAGCACGTCCCGATAACGTTCCGATAATGCTCCTATTATTTTCGAAACTAGTTCTCTCGAAAGATTAGTACTAGACTAGCGGATAATTAAAGAAAATGGTCTCGGTTCATTGATCTCTGGGTTATGTGCCCAGCACGCTTCCACTGCGCTACATTGTTCCTTGTGTTGAATCATCCAAACAACATGAAAGGAATTTAGATAATGTTACACTTGAGGTTCTGCCGAAGATTCTGCCGTGACTTAGCTAGCCGTTACACCACAGAATTTTAAAGGATTGTGGACTCATATTATTGAACAAAAGTTGCTTTCCTTTGTTTCGGTAGCGTGGCCGAGTGATGTAAGGCGCTGGTTTTAGGCATCAGTCATTTCGATGACGTGGGTTCGAATCCCACCGCTGCCATTTGTTTAATAATTTGTCGTCTCTCTTTTGAACCTGATGTATATCACCTTTGAGACGCCTTGTATTTGGAGTATTCATGGCAGACAATCCACATTGTACATAAATTACGTTTGTTTTTGAAATTTCTCTTATTTCATTCCATTTGCAAACACGAAGCCGTTTCAAGATATACCAGCAATTCAAAAATATCTTCAAAAAACAACAATCAATATATTAGTCGTGAATCGCATCGGCGTCTTCATTCTTGGACTTGATGGATGGAGTACGACAAGCCGAATGCACAATTGATATAAATAGTAACGGTGGTACAGTTTATAAGCACGACGCACTAACAAACAGGGGGACGGTAGCAGGTCAGGAGGAAGGTCTTTTTATTTTCGAAAATTATTCTATTCGGAAGAAAATGGTTGCTGGCATCGGTATTAATAAAAGCTCAATAATAATAATAATAGCAGGAAATGGTTTCGATCCATTGACCTCTGGGTTATGGGCCCAGCACGCTTCCACTGCGCCACCCTGCTCTTTGCTGCTTGGAATTAGCCAGTTGTATATATTTTTCATATCTTGAAAATCAAGAAGCAACATATTTCCCTTAAACGTGCAATGAAGCCATGGCACCAATTCAATGAAAAAGATTTTGAAACAGACAAGGATGTGCTACATAAACTATACTGGCCACATAACCCAGCAATCAAAAGCTATTGTTATTATTGAGCGTGGAGGCATGCAGACGTCACCCACGGATTTTGATCGAACTTTTTCTCAAAACAACAGATTTCGTAAATCATATGGGAATTAGGGCGAATTGCTGCGGTGGTCTTGTTGGTTAGTGAAGGATTGCTAAAAAGGTGCTGCCGGATGGGATCGAACCCTCGACTTTAATAATAATGATAATAATAACAGGAAATGATCGCGATCTGGGCCCAGCAATTATTGAGGCTAAATTGGCTAAATTGTTTTCAAAACTACAGGTTTCGTAAATAATATGGCGATTAGGATGAATTGCTGCGGTGACATTGTTGGCTAGTGTATCGTTGGCTAGTGTATCGTTGGTGTATGAATTTTTTCAAAATAACAGCTTTTCGTAAATAATAAGGACATTTTATAAGACGAAATGCTGCCGTGGCTTGTTGGTTTGAGAAAGATAGCGATGGATGGCTAAAGACTTGCTCTCGGAGGGGATCGAACCCTCGACCTTCGCATATACTCAAGTACTGCTTATAAGTACGACGCACTGACCAACTGGGCCACGAGAGCAGGTAATCTCTCTTATGAACATGGATGTATATCACCTTGGAGACGCCTTGTATTTGGAGTATACATGGCAGACAATCCATATGGTATACAATTTAGGTTTATGTTTGAGATTTCTCTTATTTCATTCCATTTGCAAAGACTAAGCCCTTTCAAGATACACCGGCCATTGTAAACTTTCTTCAAAGAACAATAATCAATATATTAGCCGCGAATCAGATTGGTATCTTCATTCATGGACTTGATGGATACAGTACGACATGCAATGCACAGTCGAAATAAATAGTAACGGTCATACAGTTTATAAGCACGAAGCACTAAGAAACATGCGACGACAGCAGGTCGTCAAAAAGGCCTTACTATTTTCGAAAACTCTTGTATTCAGAAGAAAATGGTTTTGTGGCAGTATCCGATCCTTCGTCGCCACGTCCCTATTGTATTCTTGCCATATCAACCAATAGCAATGACTAAATTAACACATTGTTCAGGTCACGGATGGATAACTAAGTCCAAGCATAATTGTTGGTTGTCTGGGCGAAACGCAATCCAAGAAACATATATCTGCCTAAACCTGGACATAAACAGCGATATTGAGTACTATTGCGTTTGCGCAGAGTTTAAAACCATGAATTGTCCTAAATACGAGTGAATTGAGCCGAACAACGTGAAAGAAACTTATAGATAATATTAGACATGAGGTTCTACCGAAGTTTCTGCTGACACTTGATTGCGCCGGATAGTTGGATTCAGAGTCCAAAGGGCTAACCGCTACAACACCAAATTTTGGAGGACTGTGGAATTATTTTATTGGAAAAAAGTGCCTGTACTTTGCCAGCGGTAGCGTGGCCGAGTGTTCTAACGCGCTGGTTTTAGACACCAGTCATTTCGTTGACGTGGTTTCGAATCACACCGCTGCTGCCATTTGTTTAATAATTTGTCGCCTCTCCTTTGAACCTGATGTATATCACCTTCAAGACGCTTTGTATTTGGAGTATTCATGGCAGACAATCCACATTGTACATAAATTACGTTTGTTTTTGAGATTTCTCTTATTTCATTCCATTTGGAAACACGAAGCCGTTTCAAGATATACCAGGAATTCAAAAATATCTTCAAAAAACAACAATGAACATATTAGTCGTGAATCACATCGGCGTCTTCGTTCTTGGACTTGATGGATAGAGTACGACAAGCCGAATGCACAATTGAAATAAATAGTAACAGTGGTACAGTTTATAAGCACGACGCACTAACAAACAGGGGGACGGTAGCAGGTCAGGAGAAAGGTCTTTTTATTTTCGAAAATTATTCTATTCAGAAGAAAATGGTTGCTGGCATCGGTATGCATAAAAGCTTCATAATAGTAATAGCAGGAAATACTTTCGATCCTTCGAACTCTGGGTTATAGGCCCAGCACGCTTCCACTGCGCCACCCTGCTCCTTGCTGCTTGGAAACAGCCAGTTGTATATATTTTTCAAATCTAGAAAATCAGGAAGCAACATATTTCCCTTAAACGTGCAATGAAGCCATGGCACCAATTCAACGAAATAGATTTTGAAACAGACAACAATGTACTACAATAAACTATACTGGCCACATAACCCAGCAATCAAAAGCTATTGTCATTATTGAGCGTGGATGCATGCAGACGTCACCCACGGATTTTTATCGAACTTTTTCTCAAAACAACAGATTTCGTAAATCATATGAAGACTAGGTCGAATTGCTGCGGTGGTCTTGTTGGTTAGGGAAGGATTGCTAAAAACGTGCTGCCGGATGGGATCGAACCCTCGACTTTAATAATAATAATAATAATAATAGCAGGAAATGATCACGATCTGGGCCCAGCAATTACTGAGGCTAAATTGGCTAAATTGTTTTCAAAACTACAGATTTCGTAAACAATATGGCGATTAGGACGAATTGCTGCGGTGGCTTTGTTGGCTAGTGTATCGTTGGCTAGTGTATCGTTGGTGTATGAATTTTTTCAAAATAACAACTTTTCGTAAATAATAAGGACATTTTATAATACGAAATGCTGCCGTGGCTTGTTGGTTAGAGAAAGATAGCGATGGATGGCTAAACACTTGCTCGCGGATGGGATTGAACCCTCGACCTTCGCATATACTCAAGTACTGCTTATAAATACGACGCACTAACCAACTGGGCCACGAGAGCATGTCATCTCTCTTATGAACCTGGATGTATGTCACCTTGGAGACGCCTTGTATTTGGAGTATACATGAGTATACATGGCAGACAATCCATGTTGTGTACAACTTACGTTTATTTTTGAGATTTCTCTTATTTCATCCATTTGCAAAGACTAAGCCGTTTCAAGATACACCGGCCATTGTAAACTTTCTTCAAAGAACAATAATCAATATATTAGTCGCGAATCAGATTGGTATCTTCATTCTTGGACTTGATGGATAAAGTACGACATGCAATGCACAGTCGAAATAAATGGTAACGGTCATACAGTTTATAAGCACGAAGCACTAACAAACATGCGACGACAGCAGGTCGTCAAAAAGGCCTTACTATTTTCGAAAACTATTGTATTCAGAAGAAAATGGTTGGTGCCTTCGGCATGCATAAACCCTCCATAATAATAATAGCAGGATATGGTTTCGACCACTGAGCTCTGGGTTATGGGCTCAGCACGGTTCCGCTGCGCCACCCTGTTTCTTGTTCCTTACCGTCAGCCAGTTGTATATATTTTGCGAATCTAGAAACCCATCACACAAGATATTTTCCTTGAATTTGTAACAAAGTTACTGCATCCAATTAAATGGGATAGATTTTAAAACTGACAAGAAAGTGCTACAATAAACTATAGAGCCTACCGGCCAAATAACACGGCAATCAATAGGTATTGCTATCATTGAGCGTGGATGCATGCAGGAAATTCCCAGTTTCGGATAGTGGACTGGAAGATAGTAGTACCAGGAAGTGGTCTCGATTCATTGATCTCTAGGTTGTGCGCCAGCACACTTCCACTGCGCTACCCTTGTTCGTTGTGCTGAATCGTCCAGCTGTGTATATGTATATTTGATGAATCTGGAAATCCAGGAAGCAACATCATATTTCCCTTAAAATTGTAATTTAATAATTAAGTAATTTTTCGTTGACTTGGACAGAGTGAAAGTAAAAGTAGTAGGGATGCCCTCTGCCAACCTAGGTGAGAAATGTGCGCATTGTAAATGTTTCTCGGTGTTATTTGCTATTTCTTATGAAAAACGACTCTTCCAGATGTGCGAAACAATCTGACGGAAACTCATAGAAGCAATCCAAAGAATAGATCCCTATAACTTTCTTGGATTTTTCCTTTTGTGAAATAGAGGGCTTCGGAAAAGACGCAATCCTAATGACAATGAAATATTTTCGACGCAATGGAAAATCTAAAACTACGGAGTTAGTAGAATACATGGTTTGGAAACTTTGGCGACTGATTTACAATACATTAACTCATTATAGTTAACAACTATTTTTGTCTGGGTTTGTGGCAGTATCTGATCCTTCGTCGCCACGTCCCTATTGTATTCTTGCCATATCAACCAATAGCAATGACTAAATTAACTCATTGTTCAGGTCATGGATGGATAACTAAGTCCAAGCATAATTGTTGGTTGTCTGGACGAAACGCCGTCGAAGAAACATATATTTGCCTAAACCTGGACATAAACAGCGATATTGAGTACTATTGCGTTTGCGCGGAGTTTAAAACCATGTATTGTCCTAAACACGAGTGGATTGAGCCGAACAACGTGAAAGAAACTTATAGTTAATATTAGATACGAGGTTCTGCCGAAGTTTCTGCTGACACTTGATTGCGCCGGATAGTTGGATTCAGAGTCCAAAGGGCTAACCGCTACACCACCAAATTTTGGAGGATTGTGGAATTATTTTATTGAAAAAAAGTGGCTGTAATTTGCCAGCGGTAGCGTGGCCGAGTGGTCTAACGCGCTGGTTTTAGGCACCAGTCATTTCGATGACGTGGTTTCGAATCCCATAATTTGTCGCCTCTCTTTTGAACCTGATGTATATCACCTTTGAGACGCCTTGTATTTGGAGTATTCATGGAGACAATCCACATTGTACATAAATTACTTTGTTTTTGAGATTTCTCTTATTTCATTCCATTTGCAAACACGAAGTCGTTTCAAGATATACCAGCAATTCAAAAATATCTTCAAAAAACAACAATCAATATATTAGTCGTGAATCACATTGGCGTCTTCATTCTTGGACTTGATGGATAGTGTACGACAAGCCGAATGCACAATTGAAATAAATAGTAACGGTGGTACAGTTTATAAGCACGACGCACTAACAAACAGGGGGACGGTAGCAGGTCAGGAGAAAGGTCTTTTTATTTTCGAAAATTATTCTATTCAGAAGAAAATGGTTGCTGGTATGCATAAAAGCTTCATAATAGTAATAGCAGGAAATAGTTTCGATCCATTGAACTCTGGGTTATGGGCCCAGCAC